CCCCAAAACCCCAAAACCCCAAAACCCCAAAACCCCAAACTAATCAAAAATGAAGTTTTTATATACTCCTAAACAACACATTCCTTCTTTTATGTACCACCGACCACTGCTTTCCTCCAGATGACGCTAACCCATAAGCATCTCTATCATTAATCTTCTCAATAATATCATGGCTCTGAATCACCTCCCTCGGGAACTCATCAAAATTGGCTTTGACAAACTCTTCAAGATTATACTCCATGCACTTCTCTTCATCCTCTGATCCATCATCTGAATTATTCCTGTTAGGGTTCAGGTCATCAGTAGAGATCTCCTTAAAGACAGCTTTCTCGAGGTTGATCTTTAGGATATAGGAGTTGCTCTCAGAATCATCCCAAGGACGAAGGATGCCAAGCAGGATATTCTTAGTATGGAACACAGCTTCTGTGATATCATAGTTCTCAGGAATTTCATACAGACATAAATTGATACTATGACTATCGCTCAGGTCTAACTTCTTGTCTAATCTTTGGAAGTAGATACAGATTACATTGATGTCATTTCTGCAGCAATATTTCACAGCGGTTATGACGTCTGACTTGTATCCATTCCTATCTCAAAGGTTGACCTCTCTCTTCCTTAGTTTAGACTCTTCTTTTGCATCAAACTCATTAAAGGAGTCCACATAAAAGTCAAGGACTTGATCATTCTCTGAAGATGTCAGCTGGATCTTCTGCAATGGCTGGTAATACTTGGAAATACGGGACTCTGGTAGTTTATAAATCTGCTGGAATATTTCCTTAATCTCAGCTACAATTGATGAGATCTTTTCTTGAGAATGACTTTCTCTCTCCTCTGAATCTGAAATCTTCTTTCCTGCAAATGCCTTTACAAGGTTATCCATTAGCGTTTTGTCAGGAGTTTTTGAGGTATCGAGAGTTTTAGAGAAAGTAGACATCATTCCTGATGATTTCTCAAGCAAAGACTTGAGGTTATTCATCTTAAATAGATCCTTATCACTCTCAAGAAACTTCAAAAGTCTAGTAGAGTCATATATAATTTTATTAAGTGGGTTTAGAGCATATTCAGATTCATCTGGGGCGCCATCTCCATTATCAATTTTGAAGCTAAGCTTGTTGATAAAGGTATAGAAATTCTTAGTGTTAAGTTTTGCTTCAACTACATTAAGATTTAACTGCTCAGATTTAGCATACAGTACAAATAACTTCTCAATTGCTTGATCTATCATTTCTGTGTCAAGTCCAAGAATCTGATATTTCTCTTTGATCAATGAATAACTTCTTAGAGTTGATAATTTAAGCAATATAACTTCAATACTTGTCATTATGTCCTTAGTGATGACCTTTAAAATCTCCTCAAGCTCGGTTTGGATGATCTCATCTCTTTTAACAAGCTCTTTTCTCTCAGTTGCAATTTTTGATAAATAAGACTCAAATCCCTTGGTCATGTGGGAGTACATAATCATCATTTTGAGGTCTTCCCGGACATCTTTAGATTTCTTCTCCTGCTTTTCATATAGTGCTTTTTCTGCTTTTAAGCATGCTTTTTCTATAAGAAACAGCTCTGCATTATATTTCTTAAGTGCCTTGCTGAAAAACGTCCAACATTGCTCATAATTCTTCTGAATGAAGGAAACATATTCATTAGATTCATAAATTAGTTTAGCCATTGCATGGATTGCTCCTGATTTGTACCCCAAAAATCTTGTGTCCAGAGTCATTAATAGTGAAGATGGTCCAATGTTGGATAGCATGAATAACTTACTAAGGTCTTTTGTTGTCTTCATTTTCTTGACAAGAATATCGTGTCCTTCTAATTGCATGGTGTTTGCAATGGACAAATGTGTCACAGGAAATGCTCCATTCATGTAAATACTTAATTGTCCCTCTTCATTGGCTACAAAACAGAATACAGGATTTTGATATCCCTCAAGGTATCTTAATTTCCTTTTAAACTTTTTAGTACTTTCTTTGAACTCAATGGGCAAGAGGTATTTTTCAGTACCTTTCTTACTCTTTTTACCCCTGCTCCGTTCTTCTGCAGATGTCATTACTTCAATTGCTGTTATGGGAGATTTTCCTGCCATAATTTCATCCATTTCTGTTCCATCATCAGTATTTACAATCACCAAGGAAGAGTCTTTATAAGCTATTATAGTCCGCAGCGCCTTATCATCCATGAACATAAACTGGCTGACTTCTTTCTCTGACGGAAAAACCGCCTGACTATTAACATCACACCTCCTAATCTCAAATACCGGTTCATCCTTAGCAATGACCCCATACAGCTCCATAGAAGGTCACCACACAACAGAGCCTATATCAGCACTGAAAGTTTGCTGGTTGCTTTCCTCTACTTCCATTTTGAATTTAAATTTTACGATTTTGAAGCAAAGTTTTGGGGTTTTGGGGTTTTGGGGTTTTGGGGGTTTTGGGG